TTATTATTATTATTATTATTATTATTATCATATTTTCCTCTTTTTCCCTCCCTTTTAAGACAATGATCATTATTTTCGCTCCTTATTGTCTATCCTTCTTTTTCTCTCTCTCTTCCTTCATCTGATAAGTATCATTGAGATATACTCACAGTGGCAATTAATTTTCCAAAAGATATATGACGCGCAACATGTAATTTAAAACAGATGGGAACTTTTAATTTTATGAGGTTGCTTACATAACCCATTCAATCACTTTAATGAAGCTTCCAGTAACATAAACATCAATGCAAAAAATATAACTTCAAAGTACAATGACTAAGAAGATCCTACAAATAAATTTATTTGAAAATAATAAAAATGAATAAATTGAAAAAAAAAATATAAAAAGAAAAAAAAAACGCATCACTTAGTTTGTGAACTCACATTCTTTAGATTACAAAGATCAGTCAATGCTCTTAACAGCTCCCCCAATCTTGATGTATCATTACTTATCTGCAACTGTAATAGAAAACTATCATATATTTAAGCAAGATTCAACAACTGAAGCATATCAATGATAAACGACACAAATCAAACCAATGCAGTTATATTATTCTCACAAGCAAAAACAAAACTGCAAACTAACAAACTCATTATCACCATCACCAAAGATGGAATTGTCAGGTTTCCAGAATAATTTTTAGGAGAGTTCTCCAATTTCAATGAGAAAATAGTGGTTATAATCTCAAATCATCGTCGTTAATAGTTTGACACAACCCCCGAAATTATAACCACAGTTTGGATCATAATGTAAGCTCATTTCTTATTCGAAGATACGCAATCATGCAAAAAGCAGGATCTAAAGCATGTTTACCTTGGTCAACACTGAATAAAAGTGTGATACTTTTGCAGTTTCCGTGCCCTGCGTACCCCTACTATAGTCTTTCTGTGGAGAGTTCAGGTACCCAAATAGCACATGAAAATCTTCTTCACAAGTCATAAAAAGCTTTGCAACTAGAGCTTTTCCCTGTTTCTGATCATCTGAGTTCCACAGGTTAAATAACTTTTCTGAGCTGCAAAAAGGTTTTCAGGGTTGAAATGCTTCCTTGGTGGTTTTATTGCAATATTTAAGAAAAATAAATGAGATAAATTACATGGGAGAATAATGCTCCCCTACCACGGTGGGCACGTGTTAATATACCCACTGCTTACGTGGCATGCACACATTGGTGATGTTAATATGTTTAAAAAATACATCACCAATGTGTGCATGACACATAAGCGGTGGACATATTAACATGTGCCCACCGTGGGTAGGGGAGCATTCCTCTTACATGGGACAGATGATGCTTTCTCTTATTGGTCTTTGGCAATATGCTCACCTATGTATACTTGAAGAGCTAAGCTTATCATTTGACGGCTTTGCATTTTGACACTCCGTAGATATCCCAGGAGCTGTACGACTGGAAAACGGCAAACCATGTCATCATATAAAAATCATTTCGTATATATTTCTCAAACAATGACAGATCGAGATTCAGAATAAATACGGGACGTGGCAGTCATACACACTCCCCCACATCCATATCAAACATAATTCATCATGGATACTCTATGTAACTCCATATCAAACATAATTCATCATGGATACTCTATGTAACTCACAGTCATTTGACACTACAATAAAGGAATTAAAGTTAGTACTAAAATCCATATCAAACATTGATTCCTTCTGGATGTTCCATCTAGCTTGTACCATATATCTGTGCTGTGCTATGTTTAAATATCCTCCTTCAAAAATATTTGTTGTGCTATTTCTTTACGTGGTCGAGTTTGAAAAAGAAAAAAGAAAATATGAGAAATCAGCCCATTTTAATTAAACTGGAAAGATAATACCAGGAATATAACTTCTCTTGGCCAACAGTTAAAACAATACCTGAAGTCTAGGTTATGTGGTTCAGATGAAACAACCATAAACCATAAAGAGGTAGACACGGGATAATAATAGATCCAAAGCTATCTAATAAACAATGAACCCTAGGGCTTAAAGACCGACATTAGATAAGCGTGACAAGAAAATTGGAATGCCTTACATTTCAGCATTCTTCGTGGTTTGAAATTCCGCATCTTTGGCCTCGACCTTTGATTGTAAAACATTGAGCTCCTCCTCCTTTTTGTCCTTTTCTTTTCTAAGTTCCAAAATTTCCTGCTCCTGCAGTTAAACACTCGTCAAGCTCCATCAGAAGAAAAGTGTGAGATCATAAATATCAGCCCTAAATGTCGACTACAGGGTGTGACAAAAGGGCATGCGTTGATCATTCGTGAATGAGCACAGAATAGGATCAGACTAAAATGGAAGACAACATATCTCTAGTCTTATCTAGAATATTCAAATGAAAAATAGAATCATGATCAATAAGGTGTGACTGATAATTTAGCATAGCGAATAGAGTGTGATTACTTACCAGTTGATGAAGTTGCTTTGAGACGCCTTGAAGCTCTTTCTGCAAGGAAACAAACATCAACATCAGAAAACGGCATGCTTCTATTTTGTACAGTTATATTCCCAACAAAAAACAACTAGCATAAACAAAAGGGACAAGGAAAGAAAACGGTTTCCATGGCACACTACCTACATCGAGAAGCGATTACAACTTGAAACAATCTTCACAATATAAACCCCAATTCAATTTGCACACTTAAATATAATGCAAACCTTTAGCCTATCATTTTCTTGCTCCTTAGCAACGTGGTTAGCAACTGCACCAAAAGAACCAGTGGAATCAGGAACGTCTTCCACTTGGGGGATTTCACGGGTTCGCTGCGAGAGCTCGCGAGGAGGAGAGTAACTGACGTCACAGGGCGGTACTCGCGGAGCAGACGGGTGCGGCAGAAATGTCGGCGACAAAAGCGACTGCGGCGGCGGCGGCGGCAGCCGCGACGGTGCGTGGCGAGGGCGCTGGGTGGACAAAGCAAGTTCCTCGGCTTGGACGAGCTGGTCCAGGAAGTCGGCATCCCATTCTTCCACCTCGAAGCTGTCCTCCACCATAGTTGTAAAGACCGCTCAAAACGGGCTCGGCTGCGCGCGCCACTTCATGAAGCATTTCAAAGCACCCTATTGGAAATTAGGCGAAATGTTTACTGTATCCATCGGGATCTGTTAATTGCAACACGACACTCCATTTTATTGCTTATTGCGTTTCGCCTCATGAAATTTGAATACAAATAGTAATTAGTAGTAATCAATGGTTGTTGCATTTGGTAAAAAGAATTGTATTAGCCCCCAACTCCGAAAAATACCCTCTCATAATTTCAGTACAAATGATTCATTATTCGCCCAGTATTTTTTATTATTATTAGTAAAAGAAAATTAAATTTTTTTAAAAGTTTCAGCTCGGCCGCCAGCCCCAAGCAGGTCACCAATGTTGTGACCGGCAGCCGATCACGGTCGGCACTGGCGCGGGCGGTTCACGTTATTCGGCTGCACGCTAGGTGGTCGGCATTGGTTGTTGGCCGCACCCTAAGCGGCCGCCATCGATGCCGGCCACACCCTAATCCGCTGCCCTAAGTGGGCGGCCATGCCACAGTCGGTCGTCTTCGCGCGGCCAGCCATGCGCTCTGCTACTAGCGAGAATTTTAATTTAGTTTTTTTTAATAATTGAAATTATTTAATTATGTTTAAATATTTAAAAATAGAATTGACACAATTTTTTGATTTAGGTTAATTTAGATAAATTTTAGTTTAGTAGTTATTAATAATATGTTACTTATAAATAATATGTTATATATATTAGTTAAATGTAATTGTATTAAAATTACGGTAATAATACTTTTTAATAATACTAATTATTTATAGGATAATGCATATAAATTTAGTATTGTTAGGCAACGAATTAATTGTAATATATAAGCCTTGTTTGTTTAATAGCTTTTTGAGAAAAAATTAGCTTTTTGTGGAGTTCAGCCTTTTCATTTGGTCAAAACAGCTCAATTTGATGTTTGGTTAAATGATTTTTTGTTTCAACTTATTGGGTGAATAAGCTAAAAATGAAAAAGCTGCAATTCAGAGCGTTTTGTATTTGCGGATTGGATAAATTTATCGATTATTCCCTTAGTTCTGAAGTAACTAATTTGAATAAATTATTCATTTATTATTTTAACTTTTGCACTCACCAATGAAGGAGAATTTGACGTTTTTTTTTTATTTTATTAATATTGAAAAATACACATAATACAACATTCAGCCATTCAGGTCCCGTGGATGCTTCATTTCTTAATCTCCATTTTTTAACACAACACTGCTATTGGTTTGAAACCATTTATTTTTATGTTTAATTTATATTCTAATTTTACTTATTACTTTAATATAAAAAATTAAAAAACATAAAAATAGTTATTATATCATAAATATTTCTTATAAATATAAATAATTAAACGAATATAACCAATGTATATTTGTAAAAATAATTTTCAAGTTCATAATACCAATATATTTTTATGAATCAATAAGCTACTTTTACCAAACATACTTTTGAAAACCGCTATTACTATCCGCTGGTCAAAACAACTATTACAATCAACTAACAGCTAACTGTTGACTATCAAACAAGGTCATATAATAAAATGGTTTGTTGACTAATTATTAGTTTAAAAAATTTTAATTAGCATTGTAATAGTAATATAAGTTGAAAAACTATATAATTTTTTTAGATAATAAGTTTGAAAAATTATATAATCATTAAGTGAAATTATATTAATTATGTGGTTAGGAATAATTAGTATATTGATTTTTTAATACTTTTTAGGAAAATAATTACTTGCAAAATTTAATAATATATTTTAGAAAATAGTAATAATTAAAAATATTAATTATGGTTGGTTTTTGTAAAGAGACTTATTCCGTGTCTATTTTTATTGACAATGTTTGATATGTTAATTTGTCATTATCTTTATATCTAAGTAGGAACTCTAAGATGACAGTTATTTTTTTAACGGGTGAAATACACACACACACACACACACACACACACACACACACATATATATATATATATATATCATATGTTAAAATATTATCTACTATAAAATAAAGGGAAAATATTGATATTCAAAATTATTTTTATAAATTAATATTATTTTGTTAGTTTAATATATGCAATTTATGATTATTGACCCGTGCATCGCACGGGCTACGTACTAGTTGAAATGAATAATAATGTTGAAATATGTAAATTGTAGGGTGTTTTTGATATTTTGTTTTAAAACTAGTATGGTACCCGTGCGCAGCACGGTGGGATTATTTCATGAAACCTTTTTTTGTTAAACTTTATTTAAAATATTTTTTTTATAAATTAATAATTTAATTACAATAGAAAGAGGATAGAAGAATACAAAATATAAACAAAAATCACATATTATTAAACACTTCTCTATACACAACATTATTGGTTTGATTTTCTTTCAAACCTTCTTCTCCACAAATTAAAATTTTCAGACCCTTTCTGTTAGTAACACGGGAGACAACGACATATAACTGACCATGACTAAAAACTGGTTTCTTCAAGAATAAGCCAACATGCGATAATGATTGACCTTGACTCTTGTTTATAGTTATTGCGTACGAAACCATAATGAAGAAGTGCCTTCTTTGAAATTTGAATGGTACTCTAACATCAGAAGGTGTTATTGTCATCCGAGATATCAAATCTTTATCACATGCATGATCGCCAGTAAGAATTTTACACCCGAGAACATGATTGGAGAGTTTAGTCACAACTAATCGTGTACGATTGCAGAGTCTCATTGCGTGATCCATATTCCGCAACAACATAACTGGAGTTCCGACCTTCAAATTCAATCCATGGTTCGGCGTTCCAGAACACTTGATAGTGTTCAAGAACTCAGGAGTATGGAGTTGTGCCACAAAGTCGGTATTGGAGTCGGATTTACACGTACTGTATGAACTTAAATACGTGCGTCCCTCAGTCAAATTTAACGACGACATGTATTCATTAATAGATTCTACGATATCGAGTGTTGGCGGAAGTATAGCTCTATTTTTCAAGTAACTTGGATCGTCGGTTGCATTCTTGAACATCGGAAATGTGCTTTCAACAATTTTTGCAATTGGATCATCGGATGGCTCTAGTAATAGATCATTTGGTATGTCTATCGGAGAACATCCATCATTTTTACCCCTTTAATGTTCCATCTCCAATGCTCGCTATCAAATCAACAAAAAAGCGGCCAACTCGTCACGTTCATTCGAATCGCCAATGCTCTGAAGACGCATATTCTTTGTAAGCCTAAGCACAGTACATTCTCTCTAAATGCTAGAAGAGTTAATAGCAGCATTAACAATCTCCTGACGACTACCCTTTGGAACTACCGGAAAGATTTGTAGAAAGTCTCCACCAAACACAACAGTCTTGCCTCCGAACGGTTTATGATGATTTGTCGGGTCGAGGGCTCCCATTACTGTTTAAAAGATGCTTGAACAACTTCAAAACAATGTTTATGCATCATTGGGACCTCATCCCATACGATCAATGAAGAGCGAATAATCAACTCAGCAAGGGGGCTAGCCTGATTGATCTCACACGATGAATTTTCATGCACAGAAATAGGAATGCGAAATCGAGAATATTGTGCAGTTCGTCCGCCCGACAATAGGAAAGATGTTATTCCACTTGATGCAACACAAAGCACAATTCGACCGTGCAATCTTAGCCAAGCAGCTAAAGTCCTCCACAAGTATATCTTTTTAGTTCCACCATAACCATACAAAAAAAAACACGCCGCCCCTGTCGGAATGAACATATGTCATTATTTTGGAATAAGCACCCTTTTGTTCATCGGTCATATGTGTCAGCAATGCATCATGCTCAATAGCTAGAGCCTTACGGTCATAGTTAAGTTCATCCAAAACCAGACGGTTCGCACTTGAATTAACACTACCCATATCTGGAAAAAGGCATAGTAGAATATTCCTTTATCCCAAACTCAACCTAATTCAACACAACATAATATTTATTTTATATTTATTTATATATTTATTAAATTTTATCTACAATATTTTTTTTGTTATGTTTTAGTTGTGATATGATAAAATAAAAGATATGCTAAAATTGATAAGTTACGGTTAAGAAAAAAGAGTGAAAAGATAGAAATTGCAATTATGTTCCAAAATATATAAAGAGTGGTCTCTATTTATAGAGAATGATTTTTTTTTTTTTTCATATAAATTAATATCAATAATTTGAGTTACAATTATCTTATTATAGAAAAATTTTATAGACCAATAAGAATGAGACACTTGCCCCATTTCACTCACCTCATTTCTCTCCCTCCTTGTGGCTAGGTTGCGATCTAAGGTCACAATTTGACCTGAGTCGCGGATTTTGCTATTTTTTTTATTTTTTTATTTTTTTATTATTTTTTAGTTGGTGACCTAATAAATATAGTATAGTATTTATTTATTTATTTAATAAATATTATCCACAATACATTATTTGGTATTGTTATATCTACAATCTAACCCAACATAATAATTTTAATTGTGTTCCAAAACATATCAAGAGTGGTCTCTATCTATATAGTATAAAAAAATACGAATTTTGGTACTTTTTATTTTATTTTTTAAAATAAAATAATATCAATAATTTGAGTTATACTTATCTTATCATATAAAATTTATAGTGGACCAATGAAAATAGGACAAGTGTCCCATTCCTAATGTATGAAAGTTAGATAATATGGAATCTCCAAAAAAATCTCCATGTAATTTTTTTGTTTAGATTTTTTAATTTATTTATTTTTTTCAAAATTTTCAAAATTGTTTGGATGGCTCTCGAATTTAAATTTTAGCCAAAAATCTTTCTCATTTTATTCACTTTGGGCGGGAATTGGCTTCTTTTTTTTGCTGATTTTTTTTTCATCTTTTTCAAATAAATATCATTCTCTCTTTATATATTAATAGATATTTACAAACTTAAAATTTACATATAATGGTAATTTTGTATGTTTTATATTGTGCCAATTTTTTTTTTTATCGTTTCTTCAATCACCGCAAAATTTTTTGCCTCACCTCATTCTATTTGTTGGATCTGCCCCTACTGAGGATGAACTGCCGGCTAAAGCCGATTCAGTGAACTGACCCTTACATATATCCGGGCCCATTTTTTTAGGCATGGTGACCCGTTGTGTCGGGTCGTGAACCGGCCCGCTTGATGGCCATGTTTACATAAGGTTTCATAGTTTTGTATTCAATTGAGATTCTTATAGACTTTTTAAAACTTTTTAAATTTGGTGACTTTTGTGGACTTTGTAAAGCTTTTATGACTTTGATGGACTTTTGGAGACTTTCAGAGAATGTTCATCAGTGACTTTTTAAGACTTTCATAATGGACTTTCTAAAACTTATTGAGACTTTTATATACTTGTAGTTATAATAGTTTGTTTGAATAAAATATTGATAAACGTAGCATATAACTAATATAAAAAAGAATAAATGAAAAAAAGGTGTTGTATATATTAATCCTCTAAAAATATATGAATCAACTCGTTGTTATGCGAAATGAGTTATTAGAACAAATTGTTTAGGATTTTAGATTTATTAAACAAGTAAACGATCCGAGCTTCAACGAGTCGAACTCGAGCAGGACCTTATATTTGTTGTTAAAAAATTACAAACTCAAATATATGTTAGACATCTCTGCTACAACGACACTTATAATCAACACAAATTAAGATATATTTATCTATTTATTTATTATTGAATGATTTAATTTTAATATTTCTTTTGCATAATGTCGTTATATTAGAAAAATATTATTAGAATATATTTTAACAAGATACAAACATTGCCGAAAAACAATAATTGTATCTTATAAAGTTACCGATAATATTCAAAATATTTCAATATCAGCAAATAAACTATTTAAAAATAAAATATTTTTTTTTTTAATATTTTGAAATAAACATTTACATGTAAAAAGAGAAAACAAATAAATTGCAAGTGCAAAATATGGAACATTTGAAAAGTCAAATTCACAAGATAGAAAAATGAGAGAATAAAGGTATACACACATAAAATAAACATAATAAAGAATATATAAAATAAAAGATCACATTAATACACCTAATGAAATAAAACGATACAAGATATCAAAATAAATAAGTAAAATAATAGAGCATGAAAGTGATATGAGATACAAAGTCGTGTTAGAAAAAAAAAAAAGAGAGTGAATAGAGTCACATAAGTCCAACAAAATCTAAGATTTTAGTTGAGACTTTTCTTTATATTTTTGTTACAAAAATCTCTAAAAAGTCTCACAATTTAAAAAGTCTCATAAATTATAACGGTTGACTTATAGTATCTGTTTTGAATAACGGTTGACTTATAGAGACTCTTAAAAAGTTTTAATTGAACACCCTGAGACTTTTAAAGACTTTTAAAGTCTAAAAGTCTCAATGAGTACAAGTAAACTTTTCAGAAGTTTCTGATTAAATACACTAAAATTCTGAAAGTCTTAAGAGCATGATTGGATACAAAAAATTTTCAAAAAAATCCAAACATTTTTAACTCAACTACTTTTTTAACTCAACTTTAACTTAACCCACTATCATCAACATTATCAATATAATTAAATAATATCAATCAATCATTCTTACACACAACATCAACCTTAATTCACTATTCATCTACTCATAAATTTAACTAACTATCACATCACATTTTCTCTCTCTTACTTTTACATCAATTTAATTTTAATTATTTTATTTTAAATATTATTTTATTATATCCACTAACAACTAACCATAGATATTTTTTCAAATTTAATCAACCCAAATCAAAACAAAAACAAATTTATATCCAAGCATGCTCTAAAAAGTCTCGAAATTGAATACACTTGTAATCTCAAGTACTCAACAGCCAACCCAGCCATGCGAGTCACAATGCGCAAGGTGGTATTATGGAGCCCAGCAGCCTTGCGCTAGCATTATCCTATCCACAACTAATCTGTATACTGTTAGAATATATTGTATATATGGTTAGCATATATTAGTTGTATATATCTATATCTTGGTTAGGTTTAG